TAGATTTATATTCCACCTATATTAACCGGCCGTTGACAGGCCTACTGGCTAATTTGGATAGAGAAACACGATGGCACAGTATCAGTCTTGCAATTGTTTTCGTCGCAGTCGCCGAAAATTTCAGAAAATCAGCATGAGAGGAGACAGCAAAAAGGATACCTGTCTGCTGGTTTGGTGAGTTCCCGAATATGGTAAATGAAATGCAGTCCCAACGGTCAGAAACACCTGGGCTAAATATTATTTTTGTTTAAACCACTGCATCAGTAAAAATAACCGTAATTGTAGACCGTATGTTGACTAGAATTGCGGGGCGATACATCCATCGAGAGCTTTTCGTTTGTACAGATAACCATTCCCATTACCAATCAAAAAGATCAGTTCATAACGTTAAACGCAATGGAGAAAATTAAATATTTGCTAAATGTTCACCTCGTCGGCACGAATAAACGGAATTTTTCGAAGGATCTACAGTCACTTCATTGTTTCATGGCTTACTTTTGCCATAAATGAAGAACGTGTATATTACATATTGATCCTGAAATTCACAAACAAAAATCACGCAGTCTATCTTTTCTATATAGTTGACTACTAGTCAACGATGTCATATGTCTACGAGAAGATCTCTCTTATTTCAACTTTTTGGTATTTATTTAAGTAATGCTCGACGATTATTCTTCTTTACGAAGATTTCTGAGTGGTTAGGGCTCCCAATGTCGATGGCGCTAACGTACCGGATGGCTGTTTTAATGGTAATTTTAACAGCAAATAATCAAGTTATGTCTTAAAAATGGCCTTTGTTGAGCAAACTTGCTTTCCAGTCTCAACATTCCTAAACAACTATAAGCACTCTATTTAAACAGAGAGGTGGGTGACATTCCATTCAGGTGAAGTGAACAAAACTGAACAAAAACATTTTAGTCTGTTCCGTAGATTTTAATGCTCCAAACGACGTAGGCGGGTCTATAGGTCGAAAAGTTTCCTCTGATAGAAGTGATAGGACCCAGTTAAAACTGATAAATCGCTTCGGTCCTGAGAGATACGATCACTCAGAATTGAGTAAGAGGGCTCTGAGCAAAGCCCGCCCGTTCGCGACACCTTTCTGCTGGTAAGAACTTATAGACACGCGAGGTCTTGCATTTATATTTTCGAAGTGTACGTTTTCTCGCCATCACCATGACGCCTGTATTAATCTTAATTACAAACAAGCATGTATTGGAGAAATATGAGAATAGTTAAAATTGTTTGTGCAACTATACCCCTTATTGATTAGTCGAATTGCGTAGTACTTCAGCCACTTCAGTAGCTGAATATAATAGATAATGCTTTTTCTACTCTGTCTGCAACCACTGCAACTGGTGCGCTTTTCCCAAGTTCAGAATTTGACGCGTCAATTTTACCGTCAATATTAGGTAAAATTCTTTAGCATAAGTCCCTTCCTAATGTCCGCGCAAGACAGGGGCTTTTGTCATTAGCCGGTCGGTCGATTAATTCTCCTGTCATCGTTTACTGGCCGACGTGTTCATTAGGGTTTAACCTCCGTTTTCTCATCCGGTAATGCCAACAAATTAATCAAGTGATTTAGGCGACGTCGCTATCAGTCGTTGTCCATCACTTAAAACATGGTGCCTGCTCCAAGTAGTACATGTATCCGGCAGACGTTAGCATGAAGCTACGAAGACAGTTTCTCTAGGCTGTGGTGGGATGCTAGGGCGAAGTACCTTAGCTACAAACAAATGCAGATATCGGTGGAATACAGGTTGACTTTCAAAAACAGCTCACCGACAACGGAACTCTCGCTTTGTTTGTTGTACTTTGACTGAAACCGCAACGCCACATATAATGCACTTTGTGGCCACCAGTAGTGAATCCGAGACTTGTTAAAATGACCGAGTGTATAAGGTGTTATTCAGACTAGCGTCAAAGACTACGTACACCGCGCATCTCACGCTGAGTTGGGCGCAGAACGGCAACTTGCATGCTAATTATTTAAAAGTTTTGGACGACTTATGCAGAATCTCTAGAATGTAAATGGCCACTGCCGTGAAAAACTGCCATTTAGGTTGTCCATAAAGCACCTAGTTTATTGGTTATTGCCAATGTGAAATTCAACTAAATTTAATTTCTTTCTTACACATCCAAAGATATAGGTCACTGCATAAGAATTTTGGAAAAGAAACCTCAAGCGCACTGAGACTAACTTTTCGTCACTTTACTGACTGG